ACACACACACACACACACACACACACACACACACACACACACACTTTATTGATACCATAATACGTATGTAGGCAGTATCCAACAAAATGAAGAAGTTATATCGTCTTTCAACACAATCAATGTCACCAGCATACAGGCTGAATCAGAGTGACATCTCCAGATGTAAGTTACCTGGTACTCGATCTCCAGCGAAGCGTCTTTCTTCATAGTCTGGAAGAAGCACTCTTTGCGTGCGGCGGGCAGAGCGAAGGTGAAGTCACCGTCCAGAGACTGAGAGAAAGCGCTGATCGCAGACACACTCAACGACAAACACGCCACACACACTCTCAACACCTGCATACTCCACCGCATGCTACTACACTTCCACAACTTTATCAACAACCGATGAAAGCTGCGCTTCTGTAAACTTCAGGACAGCTCACCAAACGAGTTGGGAATGCTGTGACTTGAGGACCCCGCCTCACAAAAGTAGAAATATTATTAATCATTTCTAAATCTGCCAGCACAGGTACTTCCTATTTTTATAAGAAATTAAGATTTTTTTTATAAAATTAGGGAACACGTGTTTTACGTGAATGTATTATTTATATACAAGTACAACGTCCACTGGCATATAACGCGAGTTCCTAAACAGTTGCATTATGGGAAATGTAGTATTTTCTGCAGAATGTAGTTCTTCGCTGCATAGTACTTTACAGCAGTGATGAGGAAGTCGGACGTATTTCTGCGAATCGTTTCTTTCCCAAGAACCGGTTCTTTTCTCATTTTTTTAATTCAGAGAATAATCATTTTTCTTATGCATAATAATAACACAATAATTTATATTCCCAGGGGCAATATTAAATATGCAAATTCAAAAACAGGTAATATAAACAATGGGGTTTTAATAGGTTATATATAAATTGTGGGTTTGGTGAGCCTGTTCATCTAATTCATTTAAAAGATTCGACTCTACAAACGATTAGTTTTACAATCGTTTTTTTTTTTTTTTACTGCGCCACAGAAGTTGACCAAATGATCAAGTGCATCAATTCAGCTTTGAGGGGACGAAAGTTTGCACCAAAAAATAAAAATAATAAAATAAATAAACAAGATGGAATGGTAAAATATAAATTTTAGAGACAGCAATCACAAAAATGTGGTGAGACTCACATGTGTGTGTATATGTATATATATATACACAATTTCACATTTTGGGGTTATATATATATATATATATATGTGTGTGTGTGTGTGTGTATTTCCTTTCATCCTAAAATAAAGTTATTCAAATTAAAGTTTATATTTTTATTTAACATGGTGAGACAAGAACACAATTATACACTGTGCCTGCCGCCGGATATCCTATCAGATTGAGGATTTTAATAACGGGCTGATATATGCGAACTCACTGCTATTTTCATAATGACTGATTACAACCGCTTGTATTACTGTGCTTTTGCACAGGCAGAAAGCCGTTCACTTTTGGTTCCAGCAGTGTAACCTTGTAAGTGAAGGTAAATGGGAAAAAATTTTTTTTTTTAAATTGTGAGAATGTCTTCATACCTAATGCCAGTATTATCAAAGAATTGCATCACACATGCACAAAACTCACAGCTCATAAATACCTGTGTTGTTATTTGGCACACTTTGCTAGCTTTTATTACTTCATTATGCTGACGCAGGTCACAGTACCTGGTGAGACAAGAACACAATTATACACTGTGCCTGCCGCCGGATATTCTATCAGATTGAGGATTTTAATAACGGGCTGATATATGCGAACTCACTGCTATTTTCATAATGACTGATTACAACCGCTTGTATTACTGTGCTTTTGCACAGGCAGAAAGCCGTTCACTTTTGGTTCCAGCAGTGTAACCTTGTAAGTGAAGGTAAATGGGAAAAAAAAAAAATTTTTAAATTGTGAGAATGTCTTCATACCTAATGCCAGTATTATCAAAAAAAAAAAAAAAGGCGAGTTGCATAAGAATTGCGTCACACATGCACAAAACTCACAGCTCATAAATACCTGTGTTGTTATTTGGCACACTTTGCTAGCTTTTATTACTTCATTATGTTTTTTTTCATGTTTGCATGGCTTTCAGAAAAGAGCAACCTGGCACGAATCTAAAATATTAAAGTTTATATTTTTATTTAACAAAAAAAAAAGAGTTAGGCTACTAATTTAACTGTTAAACGGATATTGAAGTGTTTATAAAGTCGAAGACCTGTCTATTAGAGATCATTCTCATGTAGATAGATGAGTGTCATATTTTAAACCCCACAAGAATTAAACATGCAAGGGGTTAAATATAACAAAGTAGCTCAGTTATTCTCCCACATGAATGTTTTAGCGATATTTCAGATATCTTATCTTTAAGGCGACGCGTCTGATGACAAAACTTCCAACTCATCCAGACCTCGAGGAGTGGGCGGGGTTAAAGTGATACCCGATTCCTATTGGCTGAGGACGGGGCCGCCGGAGCCGTGAGCGCTGGCAGCAGAAGCAGAGAAGCAGAGCAGCAGAAGCGGACGGGGGCCAGTCAGGCAGCCAGCGCTTCCCAACGGGGGGTTTAAAACAGAAACTACTAGCCCAACTGTTTGTTCTGTACCGCGAAACACACCCCCTTACCTTAATACAGTTAGCATTATTAACTAGTCTTGGCCTCTGTCGTCAGTATTAGAGGTGAATAGATAAAAAGCGAGGATGTTGGTCCCCGCGGGAAGATAATGAAGAAGCTGCGCGTGTTGTTGCTGTGCGCCGTTTTAGCTCTCCTGTGCTGGTGAGTCTAAATATTTTGTTGATTGAAATACTATTATGATGTATCTACCTGTCAAGCTGCGCCATAAAAACACTAATACTTTGACAGCGACATCATTTACCACTGTATCTCTAATGATAGCTTCATGCTAGATGCTAACGTTAGTTTAGTAGCCTCAGAGGTGGTATGCATTTTTAAGCTTTGTGTCAAAAGACGTCAAACAAATACTGTTTTATATCATTTATTATTGTGGAGTTGCCTGCATCATGTAAAGAAATGTGGCGACAGCCTGTTGAAAGTAGCATTGGTCCACCAGCTGTCCGCTTTGAATGTAAATTGTCGATAGAGGGTACACGATGTACAGAAAACATGCATTATTAGGCTTCCCACTTCTGTACTTATTAATTTCAGTAGTAATTTATGTATGCTTTTCATTTTTTTTAAGGCTTTGTTGAACTGCTAACAATTGGAATCAGCTGATATAGTTTAATTTTGTAGCAGCACTTATTTAATAAAAGCCGTTATCAGGAATTATGGTCAGTTTTTGTTTTTCAAGGTTAGTATGTAGGTAAAGCCTAGTAACTCTTTCAGACCATGAATCGCTTGGACTGCATTTATCTAAAAGTAACAGGCTGCTGTCCAGTTGGCCGGACTGCTACACCCTAAATTTGCCCTGACCACCGAAGCAAACTCTTACTTTAGTGTATGTTACTTTGAGAAAGTTTAATGCATTCAAATATGTGCATATCTATGATAAACTGCACTTGCTCTCTGTGCCAGGTTAATGTGGCATCCACCGTGGAGAGGTGGTGGATTAGGGCTGGTCAGATGTTGACTAGGCACACAGGGTGCTGACGCAGGTCACAGTACCTAGCGCATTCAGTTGGCCGCACCGCAGCCGACTCGTCAATAAATTAATACAAAACCGCGTTTCCAAGCACCTGTCGCTTACTGATTGTTTGGGATTATAAATATGAGCATAGTTCATCTGTTAATATATCACATGCACTTTTTTGTTTGTTACTCATCAATGAGATGCATGAGACAAAAAAGTAATATAGCCAAAACACCCGCATAGCCGCTCTTTAGTGTAGATGCATGTTGATTTTATCAGACGATGCTGCGATTATAAACGAGAGTGACTCCTGGTTAACGTATTAAAAGGGGGTCGTGTTTAGTCACTATTGAGTGTGGTATTTTTTGACAATATTCACTCATCATGACAGTAAAATAGGGCATTCTAAGTAAATAAACTGCAGTATTTCCTCTCTCAATCAGTAGAAAATATGGTTAAAACCCGGTCATGCATGAAAAAAATAAATACTGTCATGAATCGTGAAACCGGTATAATTTTGAAAAATACCATGATATAAATGTTTGGTCATACCGCCCAGCACTAGTTAAAACTATCCTTACTATAATTCTGCTATAATAATCAAGTCCCAGAGCTGTTTGTGTTGTCCAGATATGTTTTGTAAAATAATTGCTGGGTGAACTTTTTTTAGAGCATATACCCCCGGTTTCACAGACAAGGCTTAAGCCTAGTCCCCGACTAAAATTGAAGTCTGAGCTGTTGCAACTGAAAGAAACTTGCACTGATTGATCTTGAAATATGTCAGTGCCCTTGTTTTGTCTCAAGATGCACACCAGTAATGTTTTTTCTAAGGCATAATTATAAAAATTACTTTAAAATCCAAATGGAACTATGGCCTAGTCCTGGCTTAAGCTAAGCTCCGTCTGTGAAACCGGGCCTTAGAGTATTTGGAACATTTTCTAGAATGTCGTTTTACTGTAGATTAACACATTAAAATGGTTGTCAAATCTAAAGCACAGACAGACAACAATTGGTTTTAAAATGGAACAAAGTGGTGTGTAACTGACTCTACTAACAAATACTTGTAAGTATACTGTTTTAGTGGTTGATCTTGATCTACAGTTTGACTTCAGAAAGTAGACTAGTGAGAGCACTCCTCGTGTGTGTCTCCTGTCCTGCTCTTTAGTCTGCTTCTATCTTTATGTTGCCATGATGCTACAATTGTTCTCAATTCGATGAGCAGTGAGGATAAAAAAAAAAGGGAAAGAGTTTTGAGGGAATGATGTTAAAATAGTGAGAGAATCGCACAGTCTGCAGTTATAGGCAGGACATGGCACTGCTTTGGCACATATCAGACCCACAGCCAGAGGGTCTTCTCCTCTGCTGCTTATATTTTCTCTCTTCCTTATTCTTTCTTTTCCTCCTCCTGTCCATTTCCTTCTTCCCTACTTATAATAGCTGAGAATGTAGCATACTGCTGTGACATCTTCCTCCACGCCTCCTGCAACAAAACTTACAGGCTCATATCTATGCTGGCCTTGAATTCTTTGTGAGACATAAACGATGGTCCCCTTTCACAGAACTATTATGAATGCTTTTTAAAAATGAACTAAGTTCAACTTAACATGGTGTCTTTAAACGCTCAACATGCTTGAAAGTTGCTTTGCAAAAACCGAAGATGTCTGTGAGCTGCAGTGATTTAAAGGGGATGCATTTAAAGACTTAAAGAGTTTTTCTTGTTCAGAATGATTAGTTGTACTAATTGTCTTGTTCATTACTAATCGTGACCCATCCCCAGAGACGGTAAAAAATTTGACCTGCTAAGCATGTCCCACTCTAAACTGCCCATCACCCACCTTGGGTCTTGGGGTGGGCTTCAGGTTGCCTTGGAAACAACACACCTTGGTCATTGGGTTCATTTTCTCACTTGGCATACAAAGCATAATTGTGCTTAGGGCTGTGTGGAAATTAAAAAAAAAAGAGGTTTTATTCAATTTATTATGTTTTTGACAACTAAACCGGTGTGAAAAGAAGCCATTTTTTCATTGTGATTAAAAATAGTTCAGATAATGTTTAGTTATTAACCTCATCAGCTAAAACAAGCATAAACTAAGCATTTTAGTAAATGTTCTTGGGTTATTGTGAATGTGAGTACCACAGCTCTTTTATGCAGTTCGTCTGGATAAAAACAAACCCTTCTTGGCCCCTTTTGTGGGCACCATAGTATGGCTATAAGGTGAGGGCCCCATGTTCCCTATATGACTGAGTACACAGTCAAGTGCACAGAAAAAAAACATTATAATCTTGCGTTGGCTTTCTGAGTTTGCATTGTTTTTAGTCATTGATTAATGAACCGTGAACTGATCATCCAACGGCTGTTTAAAACATAGGAATGTCAGCATATTGCATGTTAACCTCTCCTCTGTAGGGAACCTTTGTGTTCAGTATTCTCAGCATGTAAGTGTGGGCTGACATTTCAACACTCATGTGTTGACTGTAATGGAGAGCTGCAGTGATGACATGTTTTTGTAGGCTAAGTTAGTCTCAGCCTGCTTCTCCTTGACAAAAAACCCAGCAAAATCAGGGCTCGACAATTAGGAATGTCCGATGGCTCGGGGCCAGTGTGAAAGACCCGATCAGGCCACTGCTGCGTCATCACGAAAGCTTATCATTTGCACACATTTTTAAGCCTTGTCAAATAAAACATTCAAGTGCAAGAAGACACAAATTAACTGAATTCAGTACTCGCGCTGTGTTCTGTGTGTACACCGCGCACATAGAGAGCCATGTCTCAGACCATGCGCAAACACAAATTTTGCCGTCTTTCTTTTATGGACAAATACACCCTGCCAATTTGAACATTCGATAGATTTTAAAGCATTCAACCACAAGAAGACGTGAATATTTACTCCATTCAGTGTGTTCTGTGTGCACCATGTGCAAATATAGAGCCACGTCTCAGGCAATGCACGAGCCCCGAATTGCGTTTCTTTCCGTGTCTTAATGCATCATGCTCTCTGCATGATGCAGGTTGTGAAAGGAAACACAGCTTTACACCGAGAAATGTCTAGGTGTTTGGTGTTAATCTTACTCTTCATATCACAGATTGTGTGATGATATCACTCTCAAAGTGCCATGCATGCCCTCCCTAATAATTTTGAAGCTTATGTGATTGTTTATACCTTCAAATCGTTTCCCATTGTTGCAGCTGGATCTGTGTGGCACATATAGCAGCATGAGGCTGATAATGATTTAGAGATAATACTTTCAGTCTGAGCCCTGAGTAGTAAGCAATGACGTTATATAATCGAGTATTAGATAAGAAGGATTGAATTAGGAAGGCAGCTGGTCTACCAGCCCCTGTGCTTTGTTTGCTGGTCTGACATGGTACAGTGTCTGCTATGAAGCAGTAGCTTTATTTGTTAATGCTAGTAACATTGTATAATCATAGAGTATAGGTAGAATGTGAAATCACTGATACACGTATATCAAATGTTTGCATTTATCATATATGGATTGATGTTTTTAAAGTAAAATAACTCTGGCTTATTCTTCATCTAACCGTTTCCTATTATGTACCCTGAAGACAGAGCCTGTTCTGACGAGAACCGCAGCACTGCATGTTGTAACAATTATTTAGTTTTCCAGTTTATGTTGTCAGTTTTCAGTTCATGTGACTGTTTCATAATTTTACAGATTTAAATAAGTCAAGAACGTAAATGGACACAAAAAAAGACTGGTGAAGTCCTGCATGCATCACCAGAGAGAATATCATCGGAAGATCATAGTTGAAATAAGTGACTGCATAATCCATGAGTGAGCCTTGATTTTGCCAGGATGTGGCTTGTGTACAATATTCAGCACTTAAGGCATTAAATAAAGCAGCTTGTTTGCTTTCACTCTTCCGCATAAGAACAGTAAATGTAAAAATTTAATGAAGATATTGGGTCTTTCTCACTACCATTCGCATGGATTATTTTGTATTTGTACACAAAAAATTCTGCCTAATTCACAACACGTCCGTACGCACATGAAATCGTTTTAACCTCATGTTAATGAATTTGGAGTGTCCTAAAAGAGTGACGGTGTGCTCCATTTCCATGTAAGGGCTTTCCTTTACAGCCTTTCGTCACTCTCAGCAAACATATGACGCACTTTTGTCTGAGAGACGCACAGCAAGATCCACGAGCAATGCCAAGTAGGCCAT